AGAGGAGAGAATCTTGAGTCTAAAAATCAGATATTATTATATGTTTATCTCCATACATGATTTTTTTCAAATGAATTCTGAATTCTAAAGCTTTTTCTATTTCAAGAAAAACTTTTTTTTAAATGTATAATTCACTCCTGTATCAAAACATACTCGGAGAACATTCAGAATTATTTTTGTAGTAAGTATGAATTGTATACTTGTATGTCCGTATCAACAAACACCTTAATAAAAAATTGTATGAAGTTCAATAATGTATTTATTTCATGGGTACTATTGAAAATATCAAATCAGTTTTGAGTTACAAGTCATTTCTGTGTCATTAAGTCCCTCTCTTCCAATAAATAATTTTATTAGTAATGTAGACTTACAAAAAAATCCAATTACAGTATTTGCCTCAATCACAAGGTTTTATTTAAAATTGCAAGTCTTGATCATGGTGGATGATGGTTCTGATTTTTTCTTGGATTCTTTTGTGCCAGTATTTTATTTAGTAGTTTTGCATGAATGTTCATGAGTAAGACTGGTCTGTAATTCTTCTTCTTCGTAATGTCTTTCTGTGATTTGGGTATCAGAGTAATTGTAGCCTCATAAAAAGAGCATAAAAGAGATTTTATGCTGATTTGTGTACAACTGACTTACAGGTGAGACGAGACACAGTTTCAACATCAGAGCTGAAGGAAAAATTTCAAGATTCAAGAACTACAAGGGGGGAGGTTGGTTGGGGCTTTTTAGATTTCTAGACTCATAAGAACACTACTGTTGATGTAGCTAAAACTTGGAGACTCATTGTCCTTGGATTATGATGTCCAGCACATTGTAATAGCTTCTCACAGGAATGAGCTGTGTGCAGCACCTGAAAGTTAATAGACAATTATGATTATCATTTCTCTTCACCTCTATTCTATTATTTATTTGAGTTAATCTGTGAAATCCTATGGTTTCGTTGTGTCATAAACTAATGAGAAAGTATTTTACTTAAAGACAGCTGGGGTGGAAATGTTTATGTATTTGTGTTGTTTTTAAACTGATTCCGTGAAATAGGATTTGAAATTTGTTCTTCAACTATCCCAATAAGATAGTCTTCAAAAAACAAAGAAACAAAACCCTTTTCTGAAACCACGAAAGACTGAACTGTTTTAGTAAAATTATTTTTGACTATAAAAAGCTAAAAGATCCTATAGAAAAATTTGGGAAATTAAGAACACTTAAACTATTTCATCCATGGTACAGCATATTACAGCTACTCCTTCTGCATCAAGCCTCTGTCTTTTAGAGTAAACTCTTTACCTGAAATTTAGCTAGAGTAAACACCAAGGATATACATTAGCATTTAAGAGATAAACAAGGTTCTGAACTCAACCATGTCTAGAAGAAGCTTTGAATAAGTAATGGAACCAGCAGTAAGAAAGATTTTGTGTGATAAAACTGAACAATACAGTTCAGTTAATTTTTGTGTGTTTTAAATTTTCAACTGGTGTTGAAATGGTTAATTATGGTCATGGTCAGTACTTCATCTCTTTCATTAGTATTGTTTTACTTCCCTGTAACAATGCAGATGTCCCCCATTAAGTTTAAAATATAGTATAAGTTGCACCAAAATTTGAATTGCTAATTTTAATTGAAATTTTTCTTAAAATGTTTCTACATTATATGATTTTTTAAAGTATAAAAGCTCAGTCTTGAAATTAACACCATAGTAGTCTGGCTCCATGTACTGATAAGTCTGAAAACCATGTATCACCTTTTACTGTGAACAATAATACTTTTAATTATATTAATCAGTATATTTGTATATATACCCATTACAGCAAAAGGCAAGGTGGTACTTATAGCTTATTATCCATTGAATTTTTGTTTTATTCTGTTTTGCTTTTGTCCTTCCAGTTCAAAGCATTCTAGGTTATGAGAGAGGTCAATTTCAAATTTGCTAACAATATGTACATAAGTAATACAATCTTAGGTGCTGGAAATACTTATAATGTGTCATTGCTATGAGTAATGTAAGCCACTTCTGTAACACACTCTAATTGCACCCATCATTTTGATAGACACCTGAAATGAATAACCATCTAACTTGCCTTAGTAAGTATTTGATTATAAATGTAATTTATACATCTCTTTATGACTGTGAGTCATCTGCCCTCTTTTCCAAAGAAAATATATCCCAAAATGTATTTTATGACATATTCTTTGAGGTTTGATGCTATAATTATTCCCTCTACTGCTGGTAGTGACAATTTATCTGTATTCCAGTATTTCTAAATACGCTTTCATTGTCTTCTTTCTAAATCAGTGCTTCTCCTGGGCCCTCTAATACCTTATATCTATGTTTTATTGTTTCACTTTCTTATTGCTGACAAACACCTCCACATGTCTTGCTATAAGTTTCATATTTCTTCTAAAGAACTGTGAAGATATTTCCTTATTCTTACTTTTAATTTTTTTCTGTCATGTCTGTCTATTGAATTTTGAACAATAGCAAAAGAAACAGAGAATCAATATTTTCATATAATACAGTTTATCTCTACACAAAAGCACAAACTCTAAATGAAAGAATTTTTTAAAATTTCTCACAAGTATAAAATAACAAAATCTACCTGTTATCTCATCTCTGTTAATACTGTAAACAACTCATACATTATCAACTTTATACAGCTAGATTCTACTCAGAATACTGACATACAAGGAATATACACATATAGAAAGTGACATCTTCCTTTTTAAAAATTTTTATCAATACTGAATTTCTCTGAGTACTCTGATTGTCCTAAAACTCACTCTGTAGATTATCCTTGAACAAAGAGACTGGCCTACCTTTGTCTCCCAAGTATTAGGAAAAAAGTGCTAGTATTTAAAGTATTCACCTAGCAGGCACATTTTCTTGATACACCATTATTCCAATTTTCTTTCTTAATATAAAAGAGTATTTTAAGAAAATGTAGGTTCTACAAATTCCCATGGTTACATTTTCCAAGTTTGACTGAAATTTGTACTCCTGCTTCATGTTAAAGTTTTCTATCACTCTATCTTGAAATTTTTGCAATTTTGATTAGCATAGATTGCTTAAAATTTAAAGTTTAAAAGATAAATTGTATCCTAATGTCAAGACAGTCATGACTGAAGAAATTCTGAGGATTCACAGAAAATAAATTCACTGTGAGCAAAGGGTGTTAGGCATGTAGCCACTGGCAGACATGTAAACACAGACCCAAACACAACCAAACACGGGTAACTGGCACACAGTCGGGCTAGTGGTAGGCATTCAGGCCTACAGACAAACATTCTGGTAGGGTGGCAAAGGTGCAATGAAAGTTCCGATCTCTGACCTCAAGGACAAATTTCAATAGAAGCCAACAATGGCTTCCTTTCAAAAATAGTTACATAATAGATCATATTTATTTTGGGGGTCATCAGACATCTGATGTCAGCCATTTTGTGCTGATCCATATCTCACAGATATCTAATGCCAGCCATGTTTATCTGACACATATGGGATATCCATTATCAATGCCATATTTTATAAACCTTAAATGGCTTGAATGGCCTTTTTCCCTACAGTAGAGAGATACCGTTTGATGTTGATAAAAGCACACATTTTTTAAAATGAGGACAAATGTGTTGTTCTCATTGAAGAGAAAATCATTATTAGTCAACTATCACAAATTAATTTCTTTAGAAATTATTTGATCATCTCATATTCGAACTTGGATATCATGGCCTCATTCAGGATGTCCTTTAGGAAGACATTCTAAGATGATACCGCACTCTCAAAGGCTGGTTATTATAAAAATGAGAAAACCAGGGTCGAATTTTTTAGATGTTTGATATAGGTAATTTAGAAATATATTGAGAAACTCAATAATAATATATAAAACGATTTTGTTTAAACAAATGGCAAATGTAAAAGAAAATATGCCAGAGGGTCAACATTTCAGTGCTATTAATATACAGCTATCAGTTAGATTCTGTCAATACATGGACAGGTACAGAGAAATAACCAAGTTTGGAGGCGGTTTTTATTTATTTTGCTTTATTTTCTGTTTGTTTGTTTGTTTGCTTGACTTGGCTTTGTTTTGTTTTTCCAACATAGTGTTTTTAATATATATTTTATTTATTTTTGCAACCTGACCACTGTTTCTCCTCCTTCCTCTCCTGCCAGTCTGCCATACATCCCCCCTCTGCCCACAACCCATCCATCCTTCTGCATTGCTACTCATAGGAAGGCAGCACTCCCAAAACATACTGCACCAATTTGAAGGCTGAACGAAGGTAAGCTTTGTAATAATGAGCAGAAATAAGAATGGAATAGATTACAATGATTCAGAGGTTTTGCAACAGTAAAATCAAGCTACTCAGTGAACATCCTTTCCTAGTGCGTGATGATGACATTATTGACAAAAGTTGGGGGACAAAAATATTAACTCATAAAATACTTTAAAGCATATATTTAGATGTTAGTAATAGTAATAATAAAAATTGGAGGATAATTGGGGATGGAATCTTGCATAACCCAAGTTAGTGTTAATCTCATAAAGCAGTTGAGGGTGAACTTGAACACCTTGTGTTGCTGCCTTCAACTTTAAGTGCTGAGAAAGACATGTATCTCAATATCTACCCTTACATAATTTTAAATAAACATTTTAACTTAATATAATTATAATTGTAAATCAACTAAGGAATCAGTTATAATTAATCAAAAATTACTTTTTTTTAGGAAGGCCACTGACTTTATTAATCTAGAAATATTTAATGAGAGTGACTATTTTTGCCAAAAAAAAGGGGGGGGGGAACCAAAGGACATCCAACAGATGGTGAAGGGAGGGAGAAAGGGGCCAGAAATCCATTCAGGAAAGCTGGTAGCTGTTGCCATCGACCTGCAGGGGGAGGAGGGGCAAGGCATGCAAGGGCAAGAATTCCAAAATGGATGAAAGGCTGTGGGGAAGAGAACCCCGGAGTACAAAGGAGGTGACTGTGACAACAGCAATCTTTTCCTTCATGGGGACAGGGAGGAGCCCCACCCAGCTGCTGACTCTGGAGACTAGATTCTGTGGCTGGGGGGACTGAGGAGTCCCCAGAGTGCACTACAAGAAGGCATCGCACCATTCTCGAAGGCACCCAAAGCAGTCCCGGGACTGCTTGGCATTGGCACCACAAGTGTCTTTCAGCCATTCTCGGAAGAGGTCTTCGTCTTTCTTTAGCACCAGAAACTGGCCAAGAACCACATAAGCCTTATCAAAGCCCCTTTCCTCCAGCTTCTTGCCCAGGACTTCACCAATCCCGGCCAGGCTCCCCACTGGCTTTTCCCCCATGGGCTCTGCCACGAAGTCTCGGTGCTTTTGGGAAGTTGTCATCTTGATCAAGTTTAACCGGCAGCTCCGGCAGCTCCGGCTCTGGTAAAGGCTGCTCGTGCTACTCGGCAGCTCCTGCCGATACCTCCACAAATTACTTTCCTTTGAAGTAATTACCATTTAAGTAATTAATAAAACCATTTTAACAAAGACATAATCAATATATAATAGATAGAAAGAGAGACAAGTAGTTGTTTATATCAGTATGTTCTAAACTGACAAAATTCTGGTTAGAAATATCAAGATAGAAAAATAATATTAGTTTTAGAAACAATCATCTCGAAACTACTTGACTTTTGTTATACCACAAAATCATCTTAGCTCAGCATTAAGTTATTGGCTCTTGTGCTATCATACTCATTAGTAGTCACATAATTTTTCTAGATACATTGTTTCACACCTAAATAACAAATGAGTAAAAATAGTCTTAGAACAATATTTTTATTTAGATTCATAAAAAAAGTACACTACTAAGTGCGAAATTAATATTTGTTTTTCCATTTTTGAAATGAAAATGCTAGGTTTCTCTTGGGTAATGTTTGTTATAGTTTTGAGTTATGTCCAATAAAATCTGAGATGAATTTTAGAGCACACTGGTTACTAGGATCTGCTTTTGGAATTATTATCTATGCAAGAGAGGAGAAGCAAGTTTAGGGAAAAGGAAGGATCTAGCTTCATCGTGGTATGGTAGTCTCAGGGAATTTCAGAGGGAGCCCTGGGGCTAAAATGGACATGTTACAATTGCCTCAGGTTATGTCAATATCAAAATTATGACACATCTCTAAACTAGCCTTAGGCAGTATCCAATGACTTTTGCTGAGATGTTAACAAACATCTGTTCGCTTCTTAGAATGCCAACAATAAATTTATAAGTGAGCCCACCTACTTCTAGCTTAGTGAACCAATGAGCTGACTGACATTGCATATAGGAACGTGAGGTGACCCAACACAGCTGCATCACTGAGAAGCCCAATACCAGTGACAATTCATGAAACTCACATGCCTAGTGTCTGCACAGACCAAAGACATCTGGACAGGCCAAAATTTCTTAAGAATTGTTACTGACAGAAACCTAGGGGAGGGGGTTTGGCAATCCTGTATGTATGAGGGTGAATATTACTACTTGTTCAGTTTTATGAGTCTCCCCCGTCTCTCACCAGGAGGGAGTGATTCAGTTGGAGGAAAGAGCAGCACAGCAGGGAGTCAGTAGATGTGACTGGTAGTAAGGGAATGGGAAGTTAATCTGAAAAGCTTATTGACTCCATTGATTGCTTCCTGTCACTTTCAAAAGCTGGGGTAACAAGTCTTTTACGGGAGAGGTACATGGATAAAGCTTCTACCAGTGCATGACAAAATTGCTAGACCAACAACATACAGCTACAGCAACAATCTGCATTGAAACCAGCACGTGCGTCTACAAGGCCAGTTTTCTTCACCACAATCCAAATCCCTTTCTTCTCTCCATTGCAGGTATCTGACCTCCAGAAGGGCAGTGTCTGCTCTCACTCTGACTGCTGTCCTGCTGGAGTCACCAGCCTCATCTTTCACTGTCCTGCACAGAGCATGCCTCAGGACAGTAGGCAGGTAATCATCCCCACGATGATGAATGTACTGAACTCCACTTTCAAAATTTTGTCTTCAATTTAATAATGCTTCTAGCCATATTCATTTGTGTAATTATACAACGAAACACTTATTAACGACTGAGTGTCAGCTACTTGCAAACCTTGATTTGGGAAAGAATGAAGAGAAGAACAGCAGGTTCTTGAGTCACAAGCATTTTACATTTACTTCCTTTATACATTAATCACTGTTTCCTTATTTGTAAGCTTTGGGATAATTAAGTCTACAAATTTTGTGACTAGCAAGTTCGACTTTCAAAATTTGATAGCTTTGACATTCACTAGCATATTTAATGGCACCTGGGGCTTCTCTACCTCAAGTAAATTTGCTCCTCAGTTACTCTATGCTATAAAGGTTAGGGTTAACTTTGCTATTTTTTCCCTGAACTTTTGTTTCTATGATTCATCACTCAAAACCTTCCCATAGGATTTACAGCTAGACTATTTGCTTGTAACCCTGGTTGGCTATGATGCTTATCCGATTTGGACTTGCTGGTATTCATGTGAGGTCTGCCCTGGGAGTATAGATATGTGGATCCACAGCATTGAACGCCGTGCTGTTTCATGTATGGCTTTAAGACTGACCTTACTGGAAGGAGGGAAAGAAGAAGCAACAGCCTGACAATCATGAAAGCTGGGATTGGGTAGGATATGCACTGGGTTGGAGGTGCACTCACAGAAACTTGAGATATTATTATATATAACTGAAAAATCAAGATGATCTATTATACACAGTTGAACAAGGAGGTAGCTTTGCAAATGTTTGATGAGAGACTCTGTAGGTGAATTGTCTCAGGATGCAGACACCTGGGCGGAGAAAACTGTGGTTGGTTGAGAATTTTACACAAACTGTCACCTTTTGTACTCAGAGCAGAGGCAGCCCTTTCTATTATTCCACTAAGACTGAGCTAAGAAAGGCATCATCAAAACCTTTAATAAAGTATTATAATGATCAAAGGTCAAGTATTCAGGCTGTAGGTGCAATTAGTTACTTGAAATATTCATAAAGTTTTAGAAGTTTCAGTTAATATAATGTAATCCAGAGGAGATGCTCTAAAAATCTGGCCTTGCTGGATGCTTGGGTAATAGCCTTACCTGGATAAATCTATTGAGATCACAATCTGTACTTATATCGAAAGATTAATAAATCAATTGTGCAGACACCTTGAAAACTGTCAAGTGTTAATTAAGATTAGCTAGCATTATAACATTTCTGACTTTACTCTTTCTTTGCACAATACAAACAGAAAAACATAAATGTTTGGGGGATAGTTTTGATTCTAGTAATAGCCAAGTCATGGAATTCTGGAGGAAAATTGTTAGATTCATAAGAATGTTATTACATATTTGACACATAAACATAAGGTTTATTCCAGTTATGTGTCCCACTTCTTGAACCTAAGAGGACATTTATAACCCTGAAAGCTAAATTAATGAGAGAGATTCTGGTCCTAGCATACAAAGAAGAAAACAAATAACAGCTCTTGACTGTCTTCATTCTTCTTTGTATGACATATTAAGTCATCCCTGTAGCACAAATAATAAAAACCCAAAGACATATATTGGGGTTCAAGTTGAAGATCAGAAAAGCAAAAAAGCCATCTACTAGAGAGACCTTTTACCTCTATCAAATCTTCATATATAAAGGGTGTGATCTTATCTCCACGAATTCTCAAACTCCACACTCCAATGAGTCCCTGTTTCTTCCTTTTTATATTTTTCTCTCTGCCCAGCCTTATTACTCCTGTCTCCACTTCCCTAGGGCTGGTATTAAACGTGAGTGACTCCCAAACCCTGGGATTAATGGTGTGAGCCACCACCACCTGGATCTGTTTGTGGATCAATCTTGTTTAGCTCAGGGTAGCCTTGAACTCACAGAGATCCATCTGCCTCTGCCTCCTGAGTAGTGGGAGCAAAGGTGTGTGCCAACTCCCCTTGGTCCCTTGTGACATAGCTTTGCTCTCTGATCCTCAAGCAAACTTTATTTTTTAAAATACAAACAAAATATCACTACACATTCCTATTTTGCTAACACTTTGATCCTGTATTCTGTATCTTGCAGATTGAAATTTATCTATTAAGATCAATGATTTATAACTTTAAGTGATGATTATCATCTTGTGAAAAGAAACAATTTAGATCTGAACAATTCTAGTTTCCAAATAGCAACTTCTTTTGATTCTTACAGACAGGAAACTGAATTATAATCTACTTGCAGAATTTAGGATGTGTGCAAATAGATTCCGCAGTAGATAGAGCATTGAAGATGGAACAAAACATTTGAGATCCATTTTTAATCATATATTTTCCCTGAACTCCCTTTGGTTGAGTCCTGATTATGTTTGCTGCTCTGATCCTTTCCCAGCTACTTCAGCTATTTAACATTTGTTTTGACAACTGTCTCTCCTTTTATTTCTGCCCCATTTTTGATAGATAATTTTGTATCATTGTGAGGATTACATGAAAAGAACTTCAAAAAATTCAAAATACTGCCCAGACTATAGTGAGCATTCAATGACATGTATTTATTTTTTGTCCATTACTTCAGATCAATATTAATTTTTTGAAATTATTTACATGAATCCTGTTGAAATTATGCATTTATGTGCTAATAATACATAAAGACAATCCTTTTGACTTACAAGAAATGCTCAAAGTAAAATATTGATGTATTAAATGCTTTTGAGAAAAATGGAGATAATAATAATATTCATACATACATACATATATTGTCTTCATATCTTTTGTTTATATGAAGTGTACACCATGAGTCATGGAGTCCAGACTAAGGGATTCATCTTCAACATAATACAGAATGTTTTGTGAGAGTCTCAAAAATCACTGATACTATAATAGTACTGTAATACTTGTCATTTTCTGCAAGAGTATTTCTGCAGTGAATTCTTTCCTGCTTCGAAACATTGCTTAGGGAATCAGAAACAATGTCCTCCACGCACAGCTTGTAGAGTCACCCATGAAATGTTTAAATAAAATAATAGCGGCAGCTAAACTTTGGAGGAGGCCCCAGGTGAAAACTTCTGTAAATAGGTACCACATCTTGAACCAATATCATTGTTTCTTCTTGTATTTTTTTTTTTAAGAAGAATGACTTCAGACTTCAATATGATGGATGCTCATTCAGAACAATAGGAGGGAATCTGTCAAGATGAAATAAAGACCTGAAGAGAATCTCATTGAAGAGGACAAAGGTTCAATGTTTAAAAATCTGAAGTGTTACTTGAATCTTGAGAATCATACAGACAGTGCTGACAGATAGTGCTGTCTCCATTGAATATTCAAGATTTTATATTAGCTTACTGTAGATACTTAATGTATTTTTTCTATAGGCAGTGTGTTTATAATCACAGTAATATTGAATGGCAAGAATGATGCTGCTGATTTCTGTTTCAACCTGGTCGATACTAAAATGTTTTAGTAGTGGACTTGGCTAAGTCGGTAAAACGTTTGGCATGGAAGCATGAGGCTCTGAGCTTGATCTCTAGAAAATAAACAAAAGTTACACTCTAATCTCAGCGCTAGCAAAAAGGAGATGACTGTGTTTCTAGGCTTCACTATTCACTTAGCTCCATCTACTTGTCTAGTTCCAGGCCAGTGACAGATCGTGTGATTCTGTGTCCAGTAAAAAAACAAAACAAAAAGCAAAACCAGGCAGTTCCTGAGAAATCTGAGGAATGAAACTCGGGGTTGTCTCCTAAAGCCTCACCCTCATGCACACAGAAGAACTTGCATACATGTGCCCAACACGTACATACAAATATTTTGTTTAAACGATTTAAGACTTTAAGAATGGCAAGCAACTTCAGAAACTGGGGAGTCATCTTGTGGTTGTATGAGAACTGTGGCGCATTTCACTGGGGTTTCTGATGGCTCTGCAGTTGTGATACTAGATTTAATTCCAAAGACTTCTTATCCAGTTATCTTAACTGGAAAATGTGTGTATGAAAATACAGTGATGGCCATCATGAAAATATTTGCTGCCAATACCGTATTTTGTTACTTATTGTGGATCAGGACATGTGCTAAATATGTAGCCTACTGAGTATCAAGTTATTTTGTAGTTTATTGTTGACTTCATCTAAATGATACTGAAACTTAAAATATTAAATTATTGAATTACATGTGGTAATTTAAACTCAGTAACTTAAGCTTTAGATATCTGAGTCTAAAATATTAACTTTTAACAAACTACCATATGTTTCCTCATATATATGCATACAAAATAAATAGTTATACTTTCATGATGATCATGGATATATATTTTAAAATTGGTATTAGGTATACTGATTTCTTTTTATCTTATATCATTGAACGTTAAACATATTTTAAGTAACTAGTTTCTTGAATTTTATTTTGTCTCTGTTTCTTCAACTATATTGAATATCAAGTTGCTTTTGTTATTTTGTACTTACCTTCAAATTTCTTAGGATAACCTGGCTACTAATTTTGGCAACCCACTTTCAAATACTACTATTTCTCTGTCTGAACCTTGAGCAATGATTCTCATAATCTTCATTTTATAGATTAAAATTTCCGATTTTCAGAATTTAACTATGAATCAAAAAAAATCTACGCACATTTTTGTGATAGGATCCAGAGAGATGTTAAAGCTCACACCAACTGAAAGAAAAGTTTAGAAGACAGAGCAGGCTTACACTTTGCTACTCATAGCGTCACAGAAGATGTAGCAAACACAAAATGCCTGCATGGAGTTGACAACACTTCCTAAACACTTACCTCTCGTTTATTAAGTTAACAAAAAAAATGTTGTAATTTTATAACACCCCTCATTTCAAAAATCACTATTTCTGTAATTAAGAAAAATTAGTAATCTAATTAAAACCACCAGTAGTTGCAGCTTACTTTTTTAAAATGTTTATGTTTCTTGGAGGTAGCATCTTAGTCCTACATATTATCTCTGTTGCACTGGTTTCCTCAAAACAT